CCTTCTTGTTTAACATAAAAGATGACATAATGGAGAGCATTCGAGTGTTTGAACGATTAGCAAAACTCGTTTCCAGTTTGTTCCAGGCATCTGCAGAGCTGGTACAGTTGTTTATCATCGGGATGATTGTGCTGTGAACAGTGGCCTCAATTCCAAGTAGCACCTATCGATCCTGACGAGTCTAGAAAGAATATCCAGAATAAGTTTTCTGTGGGCAAGGATAAGTTCCATCAGCAAACCCAAAGAGTCCATAGCTAAAGAGAAGATTGGTCATCTGGGACTTCCACGGTGAATAATTTCCATCATTTTTTGCAAGCTTGAAGGAAATCTAAGAGGAGGCATTAAGAGATATTACGTTTCCATTGGCAGGAAACGTATTACCATCAACCATAGCGTTTATAGGTGTTGAGACGATCGCCGGTTCAGACACTGTTGCTGAGGCCGTTGCTTTTGTGACAGGAGTCTGGGATTCTTCCATTGCTGTGATAAGAAGGAAGGAACACAGCTAGGGCAGGCAAGATGATCGAGCTCTATTCACGATAGAGGGGGCTCTTATACCATAAAGAAATTGAATGAATTTCCAATTGATAAATTGACAGGAATGATTTACGAGTATATATACTGGCAAGGGAGATCAATCCCACTAATCTAGCAATGTCAATCCCACAAATTTTGTCTATACTGTGGCAAATAGAATCAGCTAAATAAGGAGACAATTATAATAGAATTACAATTAAAGAAATAATAAAACTCTCTAATAATACTATGCTAACATTGTGCAATATCATGCCCCCACAAGCGTAAGGTCCGGGAAGGACACTAAGCTTGGATCGATGAATTAGGAACTGCTTTCGAGCTAGAGGTTTAGTGAGAGAGTCAACAAGTTGGTCCGTAGTATGAACATGTGAAATGCGAAGCAACTTGCGAGAAACTTGATCACACACAAAATGAAAGTCAATGGCAACGTGTTTCATACGTGAGTGAAAAATAGGATTGGAGCATAAGTAGGTGGCTCCAACGTTGTCACAGTAGATTGTTGGAGGAGCTGGAATTGATACAGCAAGTTCACGCAGCAAGTTAGTGAGCCAATTCACCTCAGCAGCAGCAGCAATGGCACGATATTCGGCCTCGGTTGAGGAGCGGGCTATAGTGGATTGTTTCTTAGAGCTCCAACTAACAGGATTGGAGCCAAGAAATGCAACATAGGCGGATGTAGAGTGACGTGTATCAGCATCACCAGCCAGTCGGCATGGGCAAAGGCATGAAGTGCAAGAGGGGATTGAGTTGAAATGAAGACACCATAACGGGAGGTTCCCTTGAGATACCGAAGAACTCGTTTAATAGCAAGCCAATGACTAGAAGTTGGTTTATGCATGAATTGAGCCAACTTGTTAACAGCATGGCTAACATCAGGCCGTGTAAGAGAGAGATACTGAAGTGAGCCAAGTACTTGACGATACTCAGTTGGATCATGTCTAGAGGAACCATCATCAAGTTTAAGCATTTCCAAATTGGACAGTTTCACTGAAGAAGCTCTAGAATATACTTTCGTTGACATAGGAACAAACCATTGGAAGTCCGATTTGTTTCAACACCCAAAAAGTATCTGAGCTTGCCAAGATCATTGAGAGAAAACCTGTTGGAGAGCTGACTGGTGAATTCATGAAGAGTTGGAGGGTGATTACTGGTGAGTATAATGTCGTCCACATACACAAGCAAGTACACATGATACGAGTACCTGAAGTGTAGATAAAGAGAGAGGTATCACTCTTAGAGTTAATAAATCCATAGGCAAGGAGAAAAGAACGAAGTTCATTGTACCATGCTCGAGGAGCTTAACGAAGACCATAGATTGCTTTATGTAATTTACAAACATGAGAAGGATATTGAGGATCAACAAATCCTTGAGGTTGCTGCATAAAAACACATTCAAATAGAATGCCTTGTAGGAAGGTATTATTAACATCCAGATGATTCAAAACCTAACCTCGAGTAACGGTAATAGTTAGAACAAGGCGAATGGTGGCTGGTTTTACAACTGGGCTAAAAGTTTCTGTACAGTCAATTCCCGATCGTTGATGAAACCCCTTTGCCACAAGACGTGCCTTATAGAGAGCAATAGAGCCATCTGGGTTCCTCTTGATCCGATAGACCCATTTACACCTGACAATGTTTTGTGTAGAGGAGAGTGGAACAAGGGACCAAGTTTTGTTTTTCTGAAGAGCAAGAAATTCATCTTTCATAGCATCACGCCAATGAGAGTGCTTGTTGGCCTGGGTAAATGATGAAGGTTCTATTTGGGAAAGGGAGGGGGGGAGAGATAGTGGTATTTAAGGAGAAGGGTTGTTTTGGTTTGTAGATATTATTT